AAAGACTACGAAAAAGCCATAACTAACCACCTTGTGTGCAGTCCCAATGTTCTGAACCAACAGTCATTTCTGATGGTTTGTTTTATTTCTTCTGACATTATTATTATTATTATTATTATTATTATTATTATTATTATTATTATTATTATTGGGTTTGATGTGGATGTGCGGGATTGGGTCCCTCTGTTATGTTCTGGTCAACAACCATAATAAAAGCTTACTTACTTACTATGATTATGCTTATTTATACTCTTCTTTTTCTCTCTACAACAGAAAGAAAAAGCAAAACTAATGCAGTACAAGTTAAAACCTAAAAATACAGAAACATTAAAATAGAATTAAATATAAATGGTATTAAAAACAATCCATTTGCGATCTATAGCATGAATGAGATCATATTATTACAAACAGGCCTGAAGACCTTATGAACTCATTCATTAAAAAAAGGCAAAATACATATTGATATTTAATATGATGTGGTTTTTAACAGGTGTAGCGGTTTGAGTGTTGGACTATAGAACCTGAAGACCAGGGTCCAAATCCCCATTCAGCTACAGAAATCCATTGGCTGTCCGTGGACAGATCACACTCTATTAGCCTTAGGGGAAAGCACAGGTAAACTCCCTCTGGACCATCTTGCCAAGAAAGTCCCCTGCAAGGTTACCAAACTTGTCATACGTTAGAAATTACTTGAAGGCACACAACAAAGCTTAACAAGAACCCACAAAATTTTTTATCGGTCTTCTTTATGTTAGAAGTCTAACCAACTGGGGGTGATAGCTAAGATTCCAGCCTCAGCACTACACTCAGTAAAGACTCAAAAGCAAACTGCTTGCTTAAAATAAGCACAGTATGACTCCATATCCATTGAACCAATATATGTGTTTCACTTATCCCTACTTCTCCTTATTCCGTTATTCACTGAGGGCCTCCTGTACAAGCTACACCCTCTTCTTGAAATCAATATTGTTTGTCACATTGAAAACAACTGGGTTCGGTAGCACTTGAAAATTCACACATCACGTATCCATACAAAATCTAGGAACGTATTTCCCATTTTAGTAATGCTTTGAACTAAAATTTTATGGGGTTGCCTACAGTTTTCAAACAGATGCTCCTTGGTGGAGTTACCTAAGTAATAATACAATGCATAGAAAATCACATACATTCCACATCCCAATTTAATTGGGGTGGTTTACAGTGTCTGAGGCAGCCTGGGCACTACAGGAGATCAAAAAAACCTTGGGAGTAATTTCATATACTGAAACAAGCATTCATTGTGAGATGTGAGTATGAAATGTAAGTATAATAATAGTATAGAAATCTTTTTCTTTTTACATGTAAAAGCTTCTGCCATCTATTAGTCTAAAGCTGTAACACTCCACGTATTGTTCTGGAAATTTCCTCCACTGCAGGATACATTTTAATGAATTATACTGAGCTCTTGTCAAAAGAGTCTCTTTATTTGTGGCAGGTAGGATGCCAAAGCCTGCAAGTTGTAGCTTTCATTTTATCCTTGAGTTTATAATTTTTATCTCTATTTCCCAGTCTGTCCCCTTTTCCTCAGCTCCCTCTCCCCACAACTGCAATGCAAGCCATAGTAAAAAAAAAAAAAAAGCTTCCACTCATGAACTATCCGAACGAGAAAATGCAGTACTGGTAGGATGTCTTAGAAAATGCCCTCAAACCAAGATAGGAGGAACAATAGCATCAGAAGCTACCCTTCGGCAGAAAACGCTCCAGAGGATTCAGTGTTGGCTTCTCTTTCTTTCTTTTGTTTCTATATTTTGTGAAATGGTCTGCTTTTGTTTGACAAATGGTGGTCCAGCTGTGTCCTTCTCCACACAGTTTCTTTGTTCCTACTTTGCAACAGCAATATATCAAAATCAAGGGACTAATAGTAATAAAAACAGCCAAACAAATACAAATAAGACATGACACAGAGGAGAAGGTAAAGGGCAATTAAGACATTTAAAAAATGAAGAACGGTAGTTGCTGTTTGAGATTCATATGTGTAACAAGTAGCCTTAACTTCTGAAATATAATAAGATTTTTGCCTATAGGTTTGTAGAAGATTGGGAACTTTTTCTTTCAGAAGGATTCTCAGAGCCTGGGAGCAATGTCCAAGAAAAGTCTATATTTTGTCACAGTAAACACTTTTCTGAGGACGATGGACCTTGTGGAGAGGTGGCTGCCAAGGTAGCGGAAATGGTCAACATTTTGTAATATTACACCATTAAGCTGTATCTCTGGCATTGGAGAGAGATTGGCTGGTGACTGCTGGAAGAGCACTTTGGTTTTCTCAATGTTCAATGACAGGCCGAGCTTCTCGTATGCTTCTGCGAAGGTGTTTAGAGTGGCTTGTAGGTCTTCTTCTGAATGTGCACAGACGACGTTGCCATCAGCATACTGGAGTTCTGTAACAGGTGTTGTTGTAACCTTGGCTTTGGCTTTCAGTCTGCTGAGGTTAAATAGCTTGCCATCTGTCCGATAGATGATTTCCACTCCGGTGGGAAGCTTCCCATTAACAAGGTGAAGTATCATAGCGATGAAGATGGAGAATAAATTTGGGGCAATAATACATCCTTGTTTCACACTGATTCCACCCATTATAAAAAAAGTGACCCGTTATATAGAAATATTCCTACACACACACACACACACACACACACATCAGATTATATATATTCCTCTATGTTGTTCACCGCTTTGAGTTGTCTGAGGGCTGAGAAAAGCGGTATATAAATAAAGTAAATAAATAAATAAATAAATATGGAGAGATTCCACTTCAACTGGAATTCCAGTTGGGCTGTGAAAGGAGGACTGGTGAAAAGTATGTATATGTATGTATACATATATACTAGCCATCCCCTGCCACGCGTTGCTGTGGCCCAGTCTGTGTATATGTGTTTTGTGTGTGTATATATGTGTATATGTGTGTGTGTATATTTGTGTATATATGAGTTTGTGTATATATGTATGTGGCTTTTGTGCATTCATTGTAATGTATTTTTTGTTTTTTTGGGTTTTTAAATCTCTTCTGCTGTGTTTTTCAGTGTTTTTAGTCACTTGTTGGGAAGTTTGCCCCAATTCGTTGGTGGGGTTCAGAATGCTCTTTGATTGTAGGTGAACTATAAATCCCAGTGACTACAACTCCCAAATGTCAAGATTCTATTTTCCCCAAACTCCACCAGTGTTCTCATTTGGACATATTGAGTATTCGTGTAGAGTTTGGTCCTGATCCATCATTGTTTGAGTCCACAGTGATCTCTGGATGTAGGTGAACTACAACTCCAAAACCAAAGGACACTGCCCACCAAACCCTTCCAGTATTTTCTGTTGGTCATGGGAGAACTGTGCGCCAAGTTTGGTTCAATTCCGTCCTTGTTGGGGTTCAGAATGCTCTTTGATTGTAGGTGAACTATAAATCCCAGCAACTACAACTCCCAAATGACAAAATCATTTTTTTAGTGAAGGACATACATTGTGTTGTTAGATGTCTTGTGTCCAAATTTGGTGTCAATTCGTCCAGTGGTTTTGGGGTTATGTTAATCCCACAAACTAACATGTGTTGGTCATGGGGGTTCTGTGTGGAAAGTTTGGTCCATTTCTATCATTGGTGGGGTTCAGAATGCTCTTTGATTGTGGGTGAACTAGTAATTATGTAATTATGACTCCCAGTAATTATGACTCCCAAATGTCAGAGTCTATTTCCCCCCAAACTCCATCTGTGTCCATATTTGGGCATATGGAGTATTCTTGCCAATTTTTGTCTAGATCCTTCATTGTTTGAGTCCACAGTGCTCTCTGGGTGTAGGTAAACTATAACTCCAAAACTCAAGGTCAGTGCCCACCAAACCCTCCCAGGTCGAAGGGAGGGTTTGGTGGCTTTCATAGCTGGAATCACTCAGTTCTTGTGGGTTTTTTCGAGCTATATGGCCATGTTCTAGAGGCATTTCTCCTGACGTTTCGCCTGCATCTATGGCAAGCTTCCTCAGAGGTGATTCTTATCCTCACCTCTGAGGATGCTTGCCATAGATGCAGGCGAAACGTCAGGAGAAATGCCTCTAGAACATGGCCATATAGCCCGAAAAACCCCACAAGAACTGACCTTCCAGTATTTTCTATTGATTCAATTGGTTCAATTCCATCATTGGTGGAGTTCAGAATGCTCTTTGATTGTAGGTGAACTACAATCAGCAACTACAACTCCCAAATGACAAAATCAATTTTTTTGAGTGAAGGACATACATTGGGTTGTTAGGCGTCTTGTGTCCAAATTTGGTGTCAATTCGTCCAGTGGTTTTGGGGTTATGTTAATCCCACTGGACGAATTGACACCACATTTGGACACAAGACACCTAACAACCCAATGTATGTCCTTCACTCAAAAAAAATTGATTTTGTCATTTGGGAGTTCTGATATCTATATCTATCTATCAGATTATATATATTATTCTCTGGAGAAATTCCAGTTCAATTGGAATTCCAGCTTTGGGCTGTGAAAGGAGGGCTGGTGAAAAGTATGTGTGTATATATACTAGCCATCCCCTGCCACGCGTTGCTGTGGCCCAGTCTGTGTATATGTGTTTTGTGTGTGTATATATGTGTATATTTGTGTATATGTGTGTTTGTGTATATATGTATGTGGCTTTGTGCATTCATTGTAATGCATTTTTTATTTTTTGGGTTTTTAAGTCTCTTCTGCTGTGTTTTTCAGTGTTTTTAGTCACTTGTTGGGAAGTTTGCCCCAATTCTTTCATTGGTGGGGTTCAGAATGCTCTTTGATTGTAAGTGAACTATAAATCCCAGTGACTACAACTCCCAAATGTCAAGATTCTATTTTCCCCAAATACACCCTATTTTCATTCCTGCCAATGCCTAGGAGATGTGGGCCAGCCCCCCCCCCCCCCCCCCCCCCTTGGGGCCGCGCGCGCCGCCTCGCGGGCAGAAAACCGTTGGGCGCTCTTCCCTCTAGCGGGCCCCCTCCCCCCGAGAGGCAGGGGCAGGTGGATCCGAACAGCCGCTGGGAGACGCTTCTCCTCACAAAGGAGAGGGGAGGGGGCGGAGAGAGAGAGAGCGAGCATGCGCAGTGGGCTCGGCCCGGCCTCGCTTCTGGAGAAAGAGAGAGAGAGGAGGAGATGTTGAAGAGAGACACTCGGGTTCATCCCCTCCGGAAGGGAGCCACTCGAAAGCCTCTCTCCTCTCTCTTTCTCCCCGCTTTGTCCTTCCCTCGGGCTCCCCACAGACGTGTGAGTAGCGAACAGGCTCCTTTGGCATCTCTGCTGCTGCTGCTGAGGGAAGGGGATGCTTCCTGGGATGATGATGCTTCCTTCCTTCCAGCTCTTCTTAGGGGCCCCCTTTGACTTTTCCAGTCAGGCAGCACAAAGTTTTGGGCGCTAAACCGCACAAAAGAAGACCAAAGAGGGAAAACGGAGGCAGCTCCTCTCGCATCTCCCAGAGGATGGAAGGGGAAAGGAGCTCCTCTTTTGTGTGTCTGTGTGTTTTTGTGTACAGACGGGTACTTTGAGGGTAGCAATTAACTGCCCCAAAATTCGTAGTGAACGACGTGGTCTGTTTCTCTGGAACATCCAAGGCTGGGTCTACACAAGGCATGGGCAAACTTAGGCCCTCCAGGTGTTTTGGACTCTAACTCCCACAATTCCTAACAGCCGGTAGGCTGTTAGGAATTGTGGAAGTTGGAGTCCAAAACACCTGGAGGGCCCAAGTTTGCCCATGCCTGATCTACACTGACCATTGTTTATATTCTGTTATTTAAACTAGTTTTATCTGTGAGCCACCCTAGAGAAAAGGCAGCATCTAAAGAAAATAATTAAAATAAATAGATGTTGATATCCACTAAGAATGATTTACAAGGGAAATGGCTTGGGTTTTCCTTGGAAGCATTGTGTAGATTCTTCTTTTGATTCCAGGTGCATGCCTGGTCACTATTCATGTCCATATTACTGTGCCTTTTAATGCCTTCTACAAAGCTAAGACAGACAGGCAATAAAGCCAGTGTCCGGTTGGTTATTCTAATACATGAGAGGCACTGACTCACATTTCCTTCTATATCAACGTACAAATGCCCAAGGCTGCGTGAGCAGGAATGACTTTGAAAGTGCCTGCTGTTGATTACCCTGAAGATGCGTGCACAACATTGCATTTGCTTGTTGTTACAGTTTGTACCAATTGAGCAATGTGCTCTTGGGTTTTACGTGGTCCTTATTGAATTGGCACATGTCCCTGAGATGTGCGTTGTTTTCTTTGTCTCCTGTGCCTGCCTGTGGGGGAGCCTCCCATAATGATTCTGTTTGATATCAGGAGCCCCAGGAAGTAAACTATGCATGGAGTAAAATAATAGTATTTATGACTGAACACACACACACATATTCGGGTCTATTTATTGTTAGTTTTGAAAAGAAAAGTGTGTTCAGTGATGCCATTGCACTGGGGCTGTGACGTCTGCAAGGTACTGCTGTGTTTTTTATGCACTCACATGTATGTACTCCTTTTTAAATATATAACTCTGTCTTCAGATGATGTATAGTGTGGGGAAAGTAAGTGCCTGAAATGAAAAGAATTTTGACTACTAGATATGCATAACATAATCTTGTAATTGCTTCATGGAGCATCCCCTTTGACAAGCGATTAAAATTGTTTCTGACTTAGATCCAGTAGAGGGAAATGAAGGGGGGCAATAGGAGTCTAAGCCTTCTGCTTTTATTGTTAAGGGACCCCAGATAATAGAAACTGCTATGTTCTTTTCTAGCCCTAGGGAACAGCAGCTGGGAACTACTGCTGGGAGAAGCCGGACAAGAGCAGCATGATGACCTTCTATGCTTTAACTCTCTTCCTTCCTCCCTCTTTCTCTTTGTATCTGCTTTACAGATTGTTAGCTTTTCCATCCGGTGGCTTTAAAACCTGAGAAAGGGCGAGGACGTCCTCTAGATCTATATCGGAGTCCAATGATGCAGGCAGCCAAGGACACTCTCTCAGAGGGTCTGGGCTTCAATAGAAACTCTGGCACTTCTTCATGACTAAACGTAGCCGATTAACCACGTGGGAATGTGTCCGCAGAGGGGGAGCAACCCAGTTCAATCTGTTTATAGCTCAGCTGCTGGCAGGATAGAACAGTGCTAAGAAGGATGGAGCCACAAAAGAATCTGCTGGACACGTGCTCCAATCCATTGGTGTGACACCCTTGGACTGTCAGTGCCCTTATTCCAGAGTGACTGGAGCTGGTTTTAATTGCCAGACGGAAAGCTTGCATGGCTCTCGAGATGAAAAGGTAATGCTGGTTTTCCACAAGACCCTGCCTTTGATTGGGAACTGATAACTTGCTCTAAATCAGGACTACCAGCAGCATGCTTTTGTCCGGGAAAACAAAGCAAGCAAAGCACCAGCGCCAACAGTCTCTTGGTGGACAGCAGCCAGAAAAGCATGATGACAGCTTTAGGTCCAAGAGCTTGCCGGTTCTTAATGGGTGTGTTCCACGGATTAATACCATGCAAAGTGCTCTCCTTGTCAACAAAAGGACCTTCTTGCAGAGTTTCCAGGGGGTCTCTGATCAGAGATATGGTCTTAACTCTGACACATCAGGACATCAGAGCAATGCTGCTGCTGTTACAACTTCCACCAGAACAATATTGTCTTTTACAGCTTCTAGCTTCTCAAGAATTGGAAGTTTTATTGAAAGAACAGACTGCAATAACTCTGCTGGCATGAGTAAAGGGATTTCACCAGCTTCCACGCTGTTAGCAATCCCAGGCAGAAAATTCCTCAATGTGGTACTTGCAGACTCTCGCTTCTTTTTAGTGTGCATGTGCTTTCTCACGTTCATCCAGTCCCTCATGGTGTCTGGTTATCTCAGTAGTGTTATCACCACCATAGAACGGAGGTACAGTCTGAAAAGTTCGGAATCTGGGCTGCTGGTCAGCTGTTTTGATATTGGCAGCCTGATGGTAGTGGTATTCATCAGTTACTTTGGGGGGCGAGGACGAAGGCCTCTGTGGCTTGCTGTTGGTGGTTTTTTTATTGCTCTTGGGGCTGCCATGTTCTCTTTACCTCATTTCATCTCTCCGCCATATCAGATTCAGGAACTGAACTCTTCTGTGTCTAATGATGGCTTGTGCTTGACTAACAATAACACAGCCAAAGACCATGTGGAATCACCTGCCTGTTTCAAAGATTCAGGTGGAAATAACCATTCACTCTATGTAGCTTTATTTATTTGTGCCCAAATTCTCATTGGCATGGGCTCCACACCCATCTATACCTTGGGACCAACTTACTTGGATGACAATGTCAAGAAAGAAAACTCATCACTCTATCTAGGTAAGACTCATGTGCCTCCTAGATGTGTTTAAAATTGTTTTCTAAGCATTTTAACCCCTCCCCTCCAATCCACCCTGAAAACATTATATCACAGTGCAGCAGTTAATCTGAATGTACCAAAAGCTGCATGTGCATTTTACTGTGCATGCATACATAGCAATCCATGTCTATAAGAAATAAGACAGTTGCCAATAAGTGCTTCAAAAACTTTACATCACAGACTTACACTCTGTATTTTCAATGGGATATGAAAGCACTTCAGTTTAATGGATATATATAGGCAGTAGGTGTTGATTTTAACAATTTTCTGAAACTAAATTTTAAGGTCTTTTGCTTCTCTTTTTATCATGCCTTCATAAAAAGTTGCAATTCACATGTGTGCAGATTCTTGGGACCAGGGATAAATGCAAATAGAGATGGAAACAGTTCCTCCCTGTATATATACCAGTTGCCAACTGAAACTGGGATGCCTCAGTGCTAACAGTCTTGATGACTTGAAGTGGTTCAAGATTACTTGAATATATTTATTCAAAGTAGAGGTTTTGACAGAAACCTCTACCTTGAAATTAAACCCAAGTTGAAACCTATCTGAACCAGCATTTGTTCTCTAATAAGCTTTTGACTATGCAGTAATATTCTATCAGCCCTAGAAATAGAGGGTTAACTAGATATTTACATTTGAAAAATGGATATTTCCCCCCCTGAAATGCATATCATATGCATAAAAAAATTTGAAGGACAACATTATAATAGTAAATTAGTAATTCCAACTAGAGTATTCATTGAATGAATACATTTACCAAGTTCTCTCTGATTCAGTAAGTCTGATGTAGTTGTTTACTTGATTTATAGTCCATTTTTCTCAGATGAGTTCATTGGGGCAAATTCTCTCACATAAAATATTTATAGTTAAAATCACTAAGGATAAATAACTAAAACCATAATTTTAAATACTGCAAATTAAATAGAGAAAGTCTCTTGTTGGATTTACACTAAAGATCAGGTACTGAGATTTGAATTTTTTAAAAAAATCAGCGTACATCATTTTTTCACCTTTTAAAATGTGGGAATTTGAATGTCTTCCCTTCTACTTTATTTCACATGCATTATGCACTTAAATATGCACATTGTATGTATTCCAGTGGTGGTGAGTAATTTTAGTGCACTTTATTTAACTGCTCGTATCTGATAAAGTGGATCCTTGTTTTTGCCAGGCTTTGGTTCCAGGAACCGCTAGAGATACCAAGATCCATGGATGCCCAAAATCCATTATACAGGTGGCCCCTTAATATCAACAGATTTGTTTTCTACTAATTCAACCATACATTGTTAAAAATTTCCCATCTCCCCACCAAACAAAAATGAATGGAAAGCAAACCTCAGTTTCGTCATTTTATACAAGGGGCATCATTTATATAAGGGCAATTGTATATAAGGGGACTGGAGAATCCACAGATTTTGGCATCGACAGGGTTGAGGTAGAGGGACCAGGAACCAAACCTCAGGAGATAGCAAGGATCTACTATATACAGGACTAGCATAGTAAGGTGGCGTCCCTTATATAAAATGACACAATCAAGGTTTGTTTTTTGGGCATTTTGGTGGTAATATTTTCAAAACCTGGGTGGTGGAATCTGTGGATGAAGAATCTGTGAGTTTAGGAGGCCAACTGTATTACTACAGTCTAATGCTATACGTTACCATAATCTCAGTTTTAATAAATTGATGTGACCATAAACTCAATACAAACATAGTTACATCTATTTCATCTTTTCAGATTCACGAGTCTTCCATGACTTGGGAAACTAATTCAGTGGTATATTGTCAAAAGTTAGAGATTTTTGATGCAATTGCTGAAAGTACCATCTTTATCTTTAGCAGTATATGATATGGTAGGTGTGTCTAGGAATTCCTTTATGAACAAATTTGACTTGCATTTCAGCACGTCCATCAGAAGCCTCTTTGCTTTGTGTGGTAAGGATGGAATCAGACTAGGATCAGTCTTTGTGACAACACTGGAGCCTATTTAAGTCACAATTACTGATCAAAGTTCTAGTCTTCAGAAAAGCCTTTCCTTCCTGAAGTTTTATCTTCAAAATGAACAAAATTATCAAATATATTGTCTCAGTGGTGTGTAGAAGTCGATTCTTTACAAAGTTTAAAATATAACATACATTTTGATAGGTTTTAGAAAGGCAAGTTCTGTTATTCCACTGGTGTTTCAAATTACTGTATCAAGTTTGTTTATTTTAGAATTTCTGTACTGTCCTTCAGCAAAAACATTTCAGAGTGGTTGGAGATAGTGAGACAAAAACATGCAGAAAGATAAGATAACACATTATAGGTAAGTGCTAAAACAGTTTCCTCAGAAGTGAAAAATCTATTAATTGCTTTGGAGTATAATAACATATTTCCTTATAAGGATACCAGGAAAACCTCCCTGGAGGAAAAAAATATCTATAAAATGGCATCATTCCACAAAATACTTCTTTTCACAATCCCAATTGAAATGCTCAGCTGTAGGGACTGGGGTATTGCTATATGTGGATAGCTTGATGAAGCAGCACATATTTCCTCAGGTGCTTGGGGAAACTGTGTAGATCAGTCAGTGGTTTGGTCCTCCAGATGTTTTGGACTTCAGCTCTCAAAATTCCTAACCATGGATGAATGAGTTGATCTTCTTTAAGCCACCAGTTGAGCAGATTTTCCTGAGGTACTTGTCAGGAAATCTTTCAATGGGAACATGCTTGTACTTACTGCCTGGAGCAGGAAGCATTTCTCTGACTTGTAGATAAGGCTAATAACATGAGAATTTGATGAGACCAGATTTCAGAATACATGAGAAGGTATAATACGGAATATAGATTTTAGAATATAGAATATATGTGGAGCAATATAGATAAGTATCACTTTCTGTACTGACATTTTCAGAGGAGCTTCATTAAGTATATGAGATTGATCATGCCCAGTATAGTCTCTCTATGTGTATGCAAGCGTGTGTAAATCAGGGGCCCTCAGACTAAGGCCCGAGGGCTGGATACGGCCCTCCAAGGTCATTTACCCAGCCCTCACTCAGGGTCAACCTAGGTCTGAAATGACTTGAAAACACAAAGACAACAACAACAACAATCCTATCTCATCAGCCAAAGGCAGGCCCTTCCCACTGAAATACTAATAAGTTTATATTTGTTAAAACTGTTCTTCATTTTAATTGTTGTATTGTTTTTAAGTGTTTTTTGCACTAAAAATAAGATATGTGCAGTGTGCAGAGGAATTCATTCATGCTTTTTCCAAATTATAATCTGGCCCTCCAACAGTTTGAAGGACTGAGACCTGGCTTTCTGTTTAAAAAGTTTGATGGCCCTTGGTGTAAATCTTCAAAAATTAAGTCCAAATTCCTTATCCTTTATCATGAAACAATCCAGATATTTCCTCATTTTTGTCAGTGAGAGTTTTAAAGTCTTCATCTATGGCCTTTTGTAGCATAGAATATGGATATGATTACTCTTTAATGCCTTTCAAGTTCACAGTTAAGTGCTAGGATTTGTAATCTTTGGCCCTACCCATGCTTGAAAGATGCCTCTATCTGGCAGATTGATTTCAGCCGGCTTGAAGGTCGAAAGCCGCTCAGGCAGTTGGAATGTGAGAAAAAGCCCTGCTCTAAATGGATTAGTCAAGTGAGCAGAGGGCAGGTGAGGCAGCCAAGGGCACATCATAAATTATGTTTATCACGTGGCTTTGCTGCTCAGTGATATAGAAGCTGCTTTTATTTGTTTGAAACCATGGCATTTTTGGTCTTATTGGGGACCCCATCTTGTCCAGTATACTTGCATGAGAGCAAGGCCAAGCGACTAAGACCGCTAAACTTGCAATCTATCTTCAAAATTCTTGGAAGAAAAATTACATAGATGTGCACAACTGTAAAGGATATTAGCCTGTGTGCCTATAATTAAAAACCATACAAGTAAGCAAGCAAACAAAATACCTGCAAATGTAACCCAGGCTTTAGACAAGGTAATTAGAAGAAAGGTTTTTATGGAATATATTCTTTCTGAATATGTTTCCCTTTTTTAGTGACCACTCTGTGTACTCCTGTACATTTGATATATTTAACTCTCCATAGAACTCAGTTTCCCCAAATGCTTTAAGATCTATCAATTTGTACAGTTATTCTACAAAGTGTTGGTGATGGCTAATCCTGATTTTACAAACTTACCTTATGTAGATGTGAGAGCTATTTTATTTATTTTCCAAGTTAATCCAGCTCAGGGTTGAGTGGCAACGTCATATCCTCTTATGTGCAGACATGCAAGCTCAGGCGGGACAGCTGGTTTGACATTCCTATCTGGGTGTCTTGCTCTTAGAAAATACATTTCATGCTTATAACATAATCTCCTGGCTGCTTGCACCCTAGTCCATCTGTCAAGATGGCAGTGTGCCAGTTTACAAGGTAGTATCATGACTCTTTAGACAATGGTGTCAAGCACTGACACCATTGTCTGTTTAGCAGAATATTTGTTTTGTAATTTGGTATTCTTCTCTCAATTCTTTATCTTTCTCTGCCACTCCCTTGCACTGACTTTCATTGCAGATAGGAATGGACAAGGAATGAAGCAAGGGTCTTCTTCCTCGTTTCATTATTGATACTTGAATGTACCCAAGTGCAAACAGAATCATTTAGTACATGAAAGTGTGTCTTTGACTTGGTTTGCATGTAAAATAATGGATGTGATGAACATATGACTTCTACATTCCTTGTAAGAGTAATATCTGAAATTTGGATGCTTGTCTTGAGATAACTGAATGGAAATAAAAATGGGTTCCCAGTTTAGGGGCTATAAAAAGTAACTTTTTATTTAGTGCTGAGCTGAGAATCCCAGCTCTTATTTCCATTTTAGATTACCATGATTTAGCACAACTGTCTTTCAGTGGAAGAAGTGAGTGGGTCTGGGGAAAATATTTGCTGAAAAATTGCTGAAAAAAATTTAAGATCCTACTTC